GTTTTAAATTAAATAGAGTTGGCATGAAATTTTGCAGTTTTCTTGTGGAGACAAGACCTAAGGCTAAGGAACAGGTTTTTGTTGCTTTTGATTGTTTGCTATATTTGTATGTTTTCTATGATAAACATTGTAATAAATAAGTTAAAAATATAATCTGAAGTTCAAGTAACATAGGGTTCCTGATGGCATGCGTTATAGTCTTGGTTTGTGTAAAGTTATGTTTTTAAATGCACTTTTTTAAAGGAATAGTATGAGGCATTTTTTATTTACGTCCATGTGACGTTTCAGTATCCAATGTCTTCCATAAGTTTTCTGTACTGGTCCTTTAACGTTTACCTCCTGCACCCGCACAGTGCTAAGCATCTGATTGTTTAAAATCTGTGTTTAAAAAGCCAGATATCTGTACAGCCTGTCTCCGGTATGAGAGAAAAAAAATAAATAAAAAAAATCTCTTGTTTGTAATGCTTTGAAGCCAGAAGTTGTTTCTTTATTTTCACAAGGCTTGAGCAAAGAGCTGTGTTGCAACCTGCAGTTAGGTGGTTAGGTAAGGCAGGGTGGAGTGTAACAGGTGCTTATTAATACCTCTAGGCTACAGGTAAAGGTGACTGTGTTTGCTCCAGTGTTCCCAGACCTAAACAGGTGGATATTGTTTTAATAATTAGGTCGAGAGTGGACATTATTTATCCTCTGGTTTTAATGGCAAACTCTTAATGTAGATCTGTGAAAAAAATGCTAACTTTTAAAGTTAAGCAACAATTCGGGTCTTCTCCTTGTTGTATCTCCCAGCTTCCAACTTTGAAATAAAAAAGGCACATTCATAATTTCAAGAGTAAAAATTTGTCTTGGCTCTTCCAAACTAAAATAAGTTTCTTCTGGAAGTTTTTTTTTCTAAAGCTTTTTTATTTGTGTTTTTATGAGAAATTGATTTTAGGGATGAATTTGACGTGATCTTAAGTCTGAAAAATTGAAACCATACGGAGCAGAATCATACAACACTGTGACCACACTGAATATTTGAGAGGTGGTTAGAATGATGAATGAAATTGGATAACAGATACAAAATCAGAAGCTGACTACAAAGCTTTGAACTTCATTGCTGCTTTGTGTATCAAACAAAGCTCTGGAAGAGTGTGAATGTGAGTAGTTTAAATCAGAGAAAAATGTTAATTTAAATTAGTATTTTGTCTTTAGACTGAAGGTGAAAACTTGTGTACATGATGTAACGTGGAGTCTGCCAAACCATGGCTTAGGAAGGTCTTCTATAAGAGAATTCAGTTAGAGTGGACTAAACCCTACAGATGGTTTTGCTGTACTGCTCCTTCATGCCTGCCTTCAGCCAGGCTCTTCTGACATGCAGGAAGCCATGGCAGAAAAACACCTGCATCGTGTTTGAAGAACTCTAGGGTAAAGGATGAAGTGAACCCTGGAATTTTTGGTAGTGTTTCTTTGGGAATTTTTATGACTTTCAAATACCAACAGGAAATGTAATGCTGGACTCCCTTTTTCAAACACACAAACATTTGTCAGGAGCAATTTTTATGTCTTATTTCCCATAGTCCACAGTTCACCAGTAAATATTGCACCAGTGATAGAATGAAAACTTTAATAGATGACCCCTAGTCTGTATTTCCCTTGTTGTTGTTGTAGTATTTGTATTTACATAGTCCTTACTACTGCATACTTCACCTTGTTTTCCCTGTTTTTCCTACCTTCTAAATGTCTGCTTTTATATCCTTCCTTTGCATTATTCCCCATTGCCCTCCAGACTTGCAGTCATGTTGTTCTCTTGCAGCAGCAATGCTTTGAGTCCCAGATGCAGGACATCAGAGAGGTGTGAGTCCAAAAGCCTGCTGTGAGATAAAGCTTGATTGTCAGAGTAACAGAGCTGCTGTCCTGGCATTTCCTTGGTTTCTGCTGTTAAAGATCCCTGGCAGCATCACCTCTGTCTTTGACCCTAATAAGCCAGCTGCCATTTGGTGTTGTCTCTATTATTTGGGAAAGTAATGTCCTGAATTGAAAAAAAAACTTGTGTTTTTTTCTTTCACACAGGTGATACGAATGTGAGGAGCTGCTTGTGAGTCCTTCTGCCACATTTCCTTCAGTGCACAGAGAGATGAGAGCGCACTCACAGCAGTCTAAAGTAGCTGGAGTAATCACCCTGTGCTGAAGGAAATTTGCAGCAGCTTTGCAAAACTGCCTTTGGCATCTGTTTTAGTGTTCCTGTAGAACCAGCTAATTCCATTTTTTTTCATCAGTTGATGCAGCATTTTTCAAAACAAGCTAGTCAACATTTTTAAGGATTTTTATTGCAGTTTCTTTTGGAACTGGGAACTGCCCAAAAATCCATCCATCTTTGCTATATCGTTGTTGCTGAATGGGAATTGCTTTTTTCCCCGTGTAGTGTTTTGTGCTCTTAATAGTCATATTTTGTGCATCCCTCTGATTATGGCTTTATTTTCTTTAGTAGGTTAAAATGGGATTTTAACACTTCCCTTCTCCAATTGTGGTGCATTTTTTTTGTTGTTTAAAGTAGCAGCCATGCAGTGATGAACTGTACATTGGAGTTTAATTATTTTGTGATTATATCCACTCAAGTATATCAAGGCACAGTTTGCTAATGAAATACAGTTCACTGATCCCACTTCTTGTTCAATGGCATCACCTTTTGACAAGTATTTTCTAAGGAAAAAAAGATGCATTGGATAAATTTGATACAAGAAAGAAAATTGAGAGAGAAATTGTTTCTTTTTTTTCTAGAGGCTGTTGTTTCTACAGACATTATTCATTTATTAAAGACATGCCATCTAGAGCGGGATGTATTCAAATTATATATCTGGATTTGCAGATACCAAAAGTGCCCTCTGGGGAGCCTTGCATACATACAGTATTTCTTAAACTGTGGCAGTGTATTACTAGAACTGTGTAAGAGAATTCTTCTTTAAGTGTTTGGAAGTCTCTTCTCTGTACAGTAATGTTACTGACTTCTGCAGGTTTGATGAGGGTATAAGCATGAAAGTGAAATTCTTCATCTACTTGTTTTCCCAAACTTATTTTTGTCACTTCCTTATAATAGCAGTACCTGTGTTATAAGGCCTTTGTGATAACATTCTGGGATCTTCATTTGCCTTTACTTCTAGTTTACTACTCTGCTTTCTCTGTTTTCCCCAATATGATTTACAAACCACCCAACAGAAGAGCTGTGTTCTCCTGCTGTCCCAGGACTCACAATGGTATCATGCGATTCCAGTGCTCAGACACATATATTGAGGTCTGTGACTTTTAGGCCTTTATTGGCTAAAACATACTCTATCCAGAGTTTCTCAGGTTGCCCAATAAATCAGGAAACAGTGCTTGGTACGTGCATTTCTAAGAGCTGCGTTGGATAATAAGATGGCTATCGTATCAGTTGATTTTTGGGTCGTGATTTGTTTCATGAACACAGGTTATGCCACTCTTCTCCCAGAATGAAGCTCTGTGTTCTGGAGTACATATGTCATCAAAGAGATCCTGCCACTGTCAGTCGAGGATGATTTTCTAGGTCAGTAAGGAGAAACAGGATATTCTCAAGAACACACAGTATATTATTTCCATTCAGAAACACAGTGTATTCCTGCT